CGGCATTCCCAGCACCTCAGTTCTCTTTGCTGCTCTTCCAGCTCTGGGAGTCCCCACAGTCGGACGCTACAGCATTTGGGAAGGATGTGTTTTACGTGCTTTAACGCCCGTATCCCTCTTAGCAGGGCAGAACCTGCCAGGGCTTTTGTTTTAGAACAACAGAAGTGCTGCAAACCATCAGTCATTTGCTTACGACATTCCTCCGATAAGCTCGTACGCGATCCCCAGTTTGGCAAAGCCCAGCTCCTCTGGGGGTTCCTTGTAGGACAGAAGACCCTCGTGGACACTTCCAGGTTGGCTTTGTGTCCTTTTTACCGGTAGCAGGTTTCAAAGAGGACAGCGGGCAGAGGGGTCTCTGGAAGGCGACGCAGGGCAGCACAGCTCCCTGGGCTGAGCAGTGACGAGCAGAGCAGCTCAGCAAGCTCAGCCCAGCTGAGTGCAGCTCAGCCCATTCGTTTCAGGTTACCGATGCCCACGGGAGAGAGCTGAGGTGAGGAAGGAAGGATTCTCCGTCATTTTCACTGTCTTCTAGTGAAAAAAAGCTATATTGGGCACGGTGGGAAAACACATTTCCAAGCAGTGGTGATTTCTTTGCCATGATACAGTCCTTGATGTTATCTATTGCATTAATTCCTTTTATCCTTGGTGTAAACAATCGTAAGGTCAACCAGATATATTTAAATAGGTCACACCGAAAGCTGATCTTTTATTTTTCCAATGTTTCTATTATTTATTAATTAAACCAAATGGATCTGCACCCAATAGCAGAATTTGGCTCTGAATAGTTAATCCTGCTGTAAAAACTGCGAAATCAGCGGGAAGAGCTGACTTCAACCATCAGGGTTTCAGTGCAGAGGATAAAGGTATATTTTTATTCCCCTGTGGTTCAGATCAGGGATGTCCACTCTACAGAACACAGACAGACTTTCAACTGCTCGTTGAAGTTGGACTCTGTTGGTAAAACTGGAATAACATTTAGAAAATATAAATGCTTAAAAGAGAGAGCTTGAAGAATTCCCTGCTGAGGTATTATTTTACTGCCTGATGTAGAGCAATTCTGCCTCACAAAATGAAATAGAAAAAGATCAAACTGCAACTGGATATTACATAAAAGGGAGGAATGAGGATTTTGCTTTAAAATAAAAAAAAACAGTTTTTCATTTAATTTTTCAGCAAATATTTTTTGCAAACCTCTGAAAATCCTTTGTAAATCCACCTATGCAGCAGCAAATCTGTACAAAATGTTTTATTCTTCAAGTTTGTTAAAACTTGTAATGAAATGCAGTACAGAATGCCCTGTGCCCTGCTGTCAAAAGCTGCCAAAAATTAATTCTAGTGCCTCTCTGACACACGACCTGAAAGACCCAGGTTTTAACTAGTTCTCCAGCTCACAGGAATATCTGTGGGGTTTTTGCACTACACCCTTGTTTACAGCAGTATGTAAAAAGTAATGGTAATGTTAAATAGCACTATTTCAAAATGAAGGTGATTATAAAGTGCAAGTTAGTCATTGGTAAAAATATCACAAATAGGAATAGCAGCAGCATTATTGACATCTATTGACTATAGATGTCAAGCTACAAAGCCTCCTAAAACACCTGTTCAGAGAAAGAATGGAAGGCCAGAGGAAAACCAGGCATCCTCAGTCTCTAATCCACGATGGTTTCCCACAGTCTTCTCCACCATTCGGCAAGATGCCAGGCATCAACCTGTACCTCCTTTAGACACCAGTGCTTTTCCCAGTTTAGGCTGTATATTTTAAATTTCACTAAACGTTGTGACCTGATTTAACTGGTTGGCCAAGAAGTGACTTCCCCAGTAGGAAAGAGTAGGATCAGCCTGGTGGAAGCCAGTCTTCGGTGACTCTGTG